AAAAATTAGCACGGTTTCACATCGTTTTTTGAATTCGGAATACGCTGAAGCCTTTTTTTTTTTTTTTTTTAATTCCATCTTGTTTCTAGATCTCTGCAAAAAAAAAGACAACAAACCAAGCTGCCATTTGAAGTACTGGAAATTACACTCTGGTTTTTATAGTGTTGATGAAATTAAGAGCTTGGCTTGTGATGGAAAGAGGCTAAAAAGACCAGTGAGTTCATTTTATGTTCAATTACAGTCGGCCCTCTGTGGATTCAACCAACCACTGATCAAAAATATTTTAAAAAAGTTACGTTGTTGCTGACTTGTACTATGTAGTCAGGCCTAGTACATAGTACATAGTACAGTGGTTGCATCTGTATTGAACACGCATAGATATTTTTTCTTGTCATTATTTCCTAAACAATACAGTATAACAGCTATTTACATTATATTAGTATTATAAGTAATCTAGAGACAATTAGAGTATATCAGAGGATGTATGTAGGTTATATGCAAATACCATGCCGTTTTACATGAGGGTCCTGAGTGTCCTCTGATTTTGGTATCTGTGGAGTTCCTGTGCCCAAACTCCCTCAGATACCAAGGGTCGACTGTATATCTGAAATGATTAACAAAAAGCACAGCAAATGTATCCTCAGCCATGCCATATAGCTTTCCATGATCCTCCAGGGATGTTTCACAGTTTTGACAAATATAAAGCTTTACATTTTAGATGCAAGACAATTAATGTGAGAATCCTTGTTTCTTTGAACAGCAGGAAAACATGACACAAGAAATCTCACACTTTTGAAACAGCGAGGTCAAGTTTGGTCGTACCTGAGACTTTGTCTCAACCTGAATTGGCAAAGAGGGTCGTTTAGCGTCTAGGTTGTAAACATCATTGTAAAGACTCTGATTACAATGTAGTGCACACATCTTTCAGTAGCAAGGAGAAATAAGTCCCACTGCTGTATGCTAGGACTTAATTCTCTTTTAACAAAGTTAGTTCTCTTCTTAAAAAGAAACTTATAAAACCAGAAATCAAATCCTAACTCTACCGCCTACCAGCTGTGTAATCTTGGGCAATTCTCCTTAACTTCTTGATACCTCAGTTTTCTTGTTTGTAAAATATAAAATTAATTTTCTATCTGAAAATTCATAATAATAAGAAGTATTTGTTGGACTTATATTTTATGGCAGGCCCTTTATATGAGTTCTCTCTCTTCAATCATAATAAAGACCCTATGGAGAAAGTACTACTATTATTTCCATTTTACAGATAGAGAAACTGAGGCATGGGGAGTTAAGTTCCAGCTGCACAGGAAATGGCATACTGGGCTTTGAATGCACATTCAAATGAACGTGTATTGAATCCAGTTCCTTAATTGCTCTGCCAGCTTCCTGAGATGGCATGGTGAGGGTGAATGAGATAAGGCAGGTGGCATAGTGACCTGCACAGGTGCAGAGTGGGTGAGTCACCCTTCTTCTCAGGGTGACTTGTGCTAGTTAGTTGGTGCATATCTGTCTCATCTCTTGGTGACAGTGACTGTCTTATTCATCTTTTTTTTTTTCCCTGTGCAACAAAGGAATAGAATGGTATGGAGGATGCCCACTTCCCTCTATCCTGTTTGTCACAGACCTCTACAAGGTTTATGTCCATTAAATTCTCGCCTTTTTCTTCAAGCTACAGCAGCCCACCAAGAATACCTAACTATACATTAACCCTTACCCTTAATCACCACATGATAAAAATGCAGCAAACAGTTGCTGAATGAAGAAATGGATGAATCACATACTACTTTATTACTCCTCATTTTTGATCTTTGGTCTGGTCATCCTACCTGGATAGCATGTACTGTGAGAGTGGAGACCTTTTTTTTTTTTTTCTGGCCATGATATTGAGCTGACTCACTGAGAACCAGAGGACCGATGTGGGCAGGTCCGTAGAGGCCCAGCCATGGCCTCATTACTGTTTGAAGTTTTCTGCTGTGCTTGAGATTCCCCCAGCACTGGACCTTTGCCTAGTGTCTTGCCACTCAGTGACTTTGCAGTACTTCTGGCTTGACGATTTAGACCTGGAAAACCAAGAGAACCAAGGTGTGCTGGTGGCCCACAAACATCAATGTTGTTTGTTTGCAAAGTATTAACTTTTGTTTTTTAACCTGGGTAAAATATACACGTGCTTTACATTTTTTTCTTTATTCTTGTTATTTACAATTATTACATAACTTTTTATTGTGATAAAATATGCACAACATAAAATTTATCATTTTAACCACTTTAAATGTACAATTCAGTGACATTATATTCACAGTGTTGTACAACTATCATTTCTACCCATTTCCAGAACTTTTCATCATCTAAAACAGAAACTCTCTACCCGTGAAACAACTCCCCATTCCTCCCTCCACCCAGCATCTGCTCGACTTTCTGTCTCTGTGACTTTGCCTATGCTAGGTACCTCGTATAAGTGAAATCATGCAACATTTGACCTTCTGTAACTGGCTTATTTCACATTGCATAATGTTTTCAAGTTTCATCCATGGTACAGCATGTATCAAAACTTCATTTCTTGCGATGACTGAATAATATTTCATTGTATATGTAGACCACATTTTGTTTATTTGTTATTTTGTTTATCCGTTTATTTGCTGATGGACATGTGGGTTGTTTCCAATTTTTGACTATTGTGAGTAATGCTTACATCAGTGTTTTTAAGAAAGAAGCAAGTTTATGACAATGAAACATAAATATATAGGATTTTGCTACATAGTTCCAGATAATAATGCATAGAACATAAAACTTTAATAAAAAGCAAAAGTATCAACAAACTGTGAAAAAAACCAAAACACACTTTAAGTTTCCAGGATAAACAACAAAACTTCAATGAACAGAATTGGACAAGTATTTGATGAAGGCCCAGGATGAGTCAGGCACACACCCTGAGCTTCCAAGCATCCCAAAGGGTCCTCCCCAGTAGTGGGGGGACGAGGCCTAGTCAGGAAGCTTTGCCTGCAGGCAGATGTGGCTGGTGCTACAGGTGAGGCCTCAGGCCTTCAGAGGCAGGGACAGAACCCCTCCTGGGGGCTCTAAGAAGGCAGCAGATTTTGGCCCAGCGATAATGGGGATAGAGATGGCGTAAACCCTGGTACATTCTGAGTTCTGCTCTTTCTCTGCTAAACCCAGCCTGTATTTTTCTGTTTCTTGGACCTGTTCTGAGGACTTGAGTTTTTCTAGCACACATTAATTACAGATGTTAAGCAGCCTTAATCCTTCCTTTAAACAACCTTGTTACTCCGCTTTGCCGACTGATTTACCTGGTCTAGTTCTTTTGTGTGTCTAAGGCAACCACACTCCAGCCAGCCTTCTGAAAGAGCTCCTTCTCTTTGCGTGATCTGGAGCACAACGTGCAGTTCTCTTCTGCCCTCCAGGATCGCACCATCTGCCCACATGGTGCAATGGAGAGTGAGCAAACCCAGCTCTCCCGCAACTGTGCAACCTTGGGGACGTTACTCCACCCCTCTGACCCGCACGTGCAACACGAGGGGATTGGATGACCTCTGCGGCCCTTTCCAACTCTATAATTGCGTGATTGCCCATATTATTTAATTACTTCCCTGCTGCACTCTTGGAGTGACTCAGCAGTCTGATAGTTTGGCTGTTGTTTTTAAGGAAGACTGATTATTTTGCCATCACAAGCAAGTGTATGCTCCATAAACAATCTGACAATCTTGATCCTAGCTGGAGTTCGACTGAGACTGACTGGATTTCTTCATGTTGTCCTCTTTCAGAAGCAGCCTGGGCACCAGCTGGCCAGAGGCACCCCAGGCCATGTCAGAGTTTTGAGTGAGGCCTGGTGACAGGGAGCAGCTGCCACCCACCGGCCTTCCCAGCCTGGCTTCAAGATGCTGAGCCTGAAGCTCCCCAGGCTGTTCAGCATAGACCAGATGCCCCAGGTATGTGCTCTCGCTCCAGTGGTAGACATCCAGGCTGTGACAAGGGCGTGGCATCTGCAACAGGGTGACTGCTCTGTCTTCAACCAGTCTGCTCTGTGCAGCCCTGCTCTCTTCAAGGAGTCCCTCCCAGACTCCATGGGGGATGACAGCCTCCTGTTCCTCAGCCTATACTGACCCTGGAAATGGAAGTGCTCCCGAAACTGTTTGTGTTGTAGCCTTTCCCTGTGACATCTGTATTTTATCCTGAAGCAAAGTCAGTTTTTAGACTACAGATAAAGAGAGGAAGCCAGCGGCCTCTAGCTGGATAGAGATTTTTTTAGGACCCTCCCATGGGTGCTTAAAAGCAGGCCAGAGGCGAAGTCACCTGAGGCTTTGCTGTTGTCCCCATCACTTGCAGGAGGCCCAGACCAGGCAGGGGATCGAGGTGATGGGGAGGCTTGTCAAGTGGGCATTAGCCCTGCCCCTTCACAGACTCCTGGGCCTGGGAACTCCCTAGCTTGGTATTGGCAGGCCTGACTCCTACCCACCTCCTCCACCATTTCCCATGCATATACCCTCTTCTCTAGCCACACCAATGGTCTCTTTAGTCTTCCCACCAGCTTGGACATTCACTTCTCTTGGTCTCTGTTTAGAGAAAGCTTTCTTCCCCTCTACCCTCAGTCTCCTTTTCTGACTTCCTTCTTCGTGGTGCTGCAGGTGTCCTCTCCCCTCCCTGAGCCCCTTCAGCTGTTGGTTAGAACCTCTGTAGGCTATTCTGTACAGCTGCCTTTCCCTTTGTATGTCAACCAGCTGTGTGGCCCGGCCCACTTCCCTACCTTCTCGGAGCCTCGCCCGTTGGGCAGGGAACAGCAGGGGGCCACCACCCTTTGGCATTGTCAAATTTACGCTGGCCCATTCCTGACTAATAGGTTACTCATGGGAAAGGGCAGTTTCTCCCTTCTCTTAGAAGGTAGGACTTGGGTATATGTCTTGTAATTTCTAGTCTCCCTGGTGCTTAAAAACAGTCCTGGGTACATTAGCGAATTATTAAAGATTTGAACAAACAGTTCAAGGAATGGAATAAATATCTAGGTGTTGATTCCTACACAGACCCAATTCAGAGACAAAACAAAGACGTCTAAGCAGCACCTTCGTATGGAACGTGGCATGACACTTTGCCAGGAAACAGGGCATTTTGTGTCAAATTGAGATCTTTTGTTAACTACAGCCTTGGCATTCAGGCTATAGGTAAACACATGACGTTATCCCAGACACCTTAGCTCAAGGGCACAGGCAGGAGGACTCCCCGAGGTGCTCCTCATGGCCTTGCGCTGTGTCTCTACCACTTACTATGAGAATTCAAGCAAGACTTGTAGTTCTCTAAGCCTCACGTTTCCTCATCTGTAAAATGGAACTAATATCTGGTAGGCCAGTCTCACAGGGCCAAGAAAAATGAAATAGAACAATGGGATTATTACGAAAGAAAAGCAACAGCCCAGTGAATGGCTGGGGGTGTTGTTGGGGACGTGGGCATGGGCACCTGGGAACAAGGAGCCATCTCAACAGGCAAATGGTTTCTCCAGCTCAGGATTTCTCAAAGTGGGTGCTTGGATCACCACCATCAGAATCAACTGGGAAGTTATTGAAATACAGTAACATTTGTGATTGCAGGCATCTTGGTATTGTTCTTGATTTTAATAAAAAAATACTTTCAGCATTTCATCATTTAATATAATGTTAGCTCTCTCTGTGCATATAGGTGTGTGTGTGTGTAAATAATAAATCTTTATCAGGTTAAGAATATTCCTCTTTATCCCTAGTATCCTAGGATTTTTTTTTTTTGCATTAATAATGAATTTTACAGAACTTTTTTTTCTATCAATATATATTTTGAGGTGGTTGTACAAGATTCATTTAAGTTGTCAATGTGGTGAATTACATTGACCGATTACTAAATTTAAACTAACCTTGCATTTAAATACAAATTGGTCATGATGTAATATCTTTTTAATCTATTGCTGAAATTCATTAGTTAATATTTTGTTTAGGATTTTTAAATCTATTTAATGAGTTGGCCTGTAATTTTTCCTTATTATGCTGCCCTTGCCTGGATTTGGGATTAAGATTATGCCAACTACAAATGAGTTGGAGAATGTTGCCTATTAATTCTAGGGAAATTTTCACATAATATTAGAATTACACGTTCCTGAGTGCTTGGTAGGAATTACCTATAAAATGTCTAAATGGGGCCACCACATCGCCCATTCCAAGGGAGCACTGTTTACCTTTTTGTCTACATGAATGGCAGCCTTTGAAGTGGTTCAGGCAGTAACTCAATCCTACAGCTGAAATGTCTTTGTGGAAAAGTTTTTTTTAATAACAGCTTTGTTGAGATATAATTCACATGCCATAAAATTCGCCCTTTACAAGAATCAGTTCAGTGGCTTTTAAGATGTTTATGTACACAAAGTATGTTGCACGAAATCATCACAATCAATTTTGGAACATTTTCATCACTGTAGAAAGAAATTCTGTACCAATTAGCAGACATTTCCCACTCCCTTCGTTCCCAGGCCTATGGCAAGCACTAATTTACTTTCTGTCTCTATGGATTTGCCTATCCGGGATATTTCATATAAATGGCATAATATAATAGGCAGCCTTTTGTGAATGACTTCTTTTGCTTAGCAAAATGTTTTCAAAATTCATCTATGCTATAGCATGTGTTACTACTTCATTCATTTTTTTATGGCTGAATAATATTCCATTGTAGAGATATACCACAGTTTGTTCATTTATCAGTTGATGGACACATGAGTTGATTCAGATTTTTGGCTATTATGAATAATGCTGCTATGAATATTTGTGTACAGGTTTTTATGTAGACATATTTTCAGTTCTCTTAGATAGACACCTAAGAGTGGAATTGTTGGGTCACGTGGTCACTCTATCTATACCTAGCTTTTTTTTATTGTGGTGAAACATAACTGGTGTAAAATTTACTGCCTTAATCATTTTTAAGTGCACAGTTCAGTGATATTAAACATATTCACATTATAGTACAGCCATCACCACCATTCATCTTCATAATTTTTTTTGTCTTGTAGAACTGAAACTCTCTACTCATTAAACAGTAACTCTCTCATTTTTCCCTCCCCACAGCCTCTGACAACCACCATGATACTTTCTGTTTATGATTTTGACTACCCTACTTCCTCATTTAAGTAGAATAATACAGTATTTGTCCTTTTGTGACTGGCTTATCTATTTCATGTAGCATAAGGTCCTTAAGTTTCATTCGTGCTATAGCATATGTCAGACTTTACTTCCTTTTTAAGGCTGAAATTATATTTCATTGTATGTACATACCACATTTTGCTTATCTATTTCTCCATCGATGGACACTGGGCTGCCTCTATATTTTAGCTATTGTGAATAATGCTGCTACAAACACAGGTGTGTACATATATCTCTTTGAGGTCCTATATTCGGTAATTTGGGGTATATAACCAGGAGTGGAATTGCTGGATCATTTGATAATTCTGTTTTTAAGGTTTTGAGGAACTGCCATACTGTTTTCCGCAGTGACTATATTATTTTATATTCGCACCAACAATACAACAACAGTTTTAATTTCTTCATATCCTTACCAACACTTGTTTTCTGCTTTTTTTTATAGTAGCCATCCTAATGGGTATGAGGTGGTATCTCATTGTAGTTTTGATTTGCATTTTGCTAATGATTAGTGATGTTGAGCATCTTTCCATATGTTTAGTGTCTATTTATTTATTTTTTATTTTTTTAGGCAAGGCAACCCTTGGTTGACCTCACAGATTGCAAGAACCTTGTCACCTTACGATCTCTTATTTTTTAGTTTTTTATGCCTACAGCACCTGGTCTTCCTAGGTGATCTCCCTCCAAGTACTAACCAGGCCCGACTCTGCTTAGCTTCCAAGATCAGATGGGATTGGGCTTGTTCAGGGTGGCATGGCTGTAGACTGGTGGCTATTTTTAAATTTCTTTTGGAGAGAAATGTATTCAAGCCATTTGCCAATTTTTAAATTGGGCCATTTTTTTTCTTTTTGTTGTTGAGTTGTAAAAATTCTTTATACTGGATACAAGTCTATTATTAGGTATGTAATTTGCAGATATTTTCACCCATTCTGTGTGGTGTTGTTTTTTTTTCCATTTTATTGATGGCATCCTTTGAAGTACAAAAGTTTAACATTTTGATGATATCTATTTCTTTTGTTGCTTGTGATTTCGATGTCATAGCTAAGAAAACTTTGGCTAATCTAAGGTCATGAAGATTTACTCCTATATATTTTTCTAAGAGTTTTATGTCTCACATTTTTGTCTATGATCTATTTTTGAGTTAATTATTGCATGTGGTGTGAGATAGGAGTCCAACTTTATTCTCGCGCACGCACGTGTGTGTGTGTGTGTGTATATACATGTATATATATATATACATGTGTATATATGTATATATATATACATACATAACAAGTAGTTCCAGCACCATTTGTTGAAAAGACTATTTTTTCTCTATTAAATTGCTTAGGCACCTTTACTGAAAATCAGTTGACTGTAAAGGGTTTATTTCTGAATTCTAAGTCCTATTCCATTGACCTATTTGCCTATTCTTATGCTAGTACCGCACTCTCCTGATTATATAGCTTTGTAATAAGTTTTCGGAAATGTGAGACTTTCAACTTTTTTCTTCTTTTTCAAGATTGTTTTGGCTGTTCAGAGTCCCTTGAATTTTTGTATGAGTTTAATTTCTACAAAAAAAGGCAGTTGGGATTTTGTTGAGGGTTGCATTGAATCTGTTGATCAATTTGGGGAGCATTACCATCTTAACGATATTAAGTCTTTTAGTCCGTGAGCATGCGTTGCCTTTGCATTTATTTAGGTCTTCTTTAATTTCTTTCAGTCATGTTTTGTAGTCTTCAGTGTACACGTCTTGTACCATTAAAATAATTTTGTTAAATTTATTCCTAAGTATTTATTGTTTCTGA